AATTCGGAGTATCGGCCGATACTGATCTGATACCAAAATTCAAAGTATCAACCGATATCGATCCAGTACCGAAATTTGGAGTATCAACCGATACAGATCTGATAACAAAATTCGAAGTATTGACCAATACAGATCCGATCCCGATACCAAAATTCAGAGTGTCAACCGATATAGATGAGATGCCGATACCAAAATTCAGAGTATCGACCGATACAGATCCGATCCCGATACTGTACCGTTATTTTTATACATACAGTTTGTATAGTTCTACCATTAAAAACATTATTGAATAAATTTAGGTGCAATTAGTCCAACGTATTTATTTCTTTATTTTTATTGTTTATTTTTCACGGACTTGTGCGGGAAACCAGAGCTGACCGATCTGCTTCAGACCTTCTATGGAATATACACAATTATGTAGACTAATTACCTCTGACAAACACCCAAACACTGCAGTGCCCTTAAATTTTCTCCATAACTTGCATCAGAGCTGCAGCAATGGTTTGTCAGCTTGTCATCCTCTGAGAAAACTATTGGCGGTTGTCTAGCAAGCCCTCCCGGGCAGCGTTGACCGGCCCGCAGTGATAAAAAGGTAGAATAGAGATCATTGAGTTAGTTGATTTGCTTGTCGGCAGTAAAAATTGCTTGGACAGGAATGACAAAAATAAATGCAAACAATAAACGCAGGGCTTCAGAAGACTATTGGCATATCTTCATGCCGTTGTCATCTGATTTTCAACTTGTTTTTGGGCACGCCACTGGTGTTTGGCTCAGTGATTGCATGTGTGTAGGCATGTACTTGTGTTTCTTTGTCTTCTTCCTGAAGTGGTAGTCAGTGCGGACGGCCCAATAAATTGTATGGTAACAAGTTATGAAAGTTGGCACACACTTAGAAGACTTTCTCAACGTAATGCATAGCAAATGTGCCATCTCTCCTCCAAAAACCTTGCAGCAGCACCGACAGTTCAGATTATACATATTCCTGCATTAATCTTTTAAAGCGCGTGTGTGCAGCACCGCATAAATATTTCAGACACGGCAACAGAAAACATCTCTTCATATTTTGGTCAGTAATATCATGCCCTTCTTCTCATAAGCGTGCATTCATGAGCAGGGAAAAATATATGCAATATTGTTACCAAGTATTGCAATATTGATATTTCGTACGATATTTCATTTCCCTTGAAAAATGCTAGTTTTATTTTTAAATCATTTCATTATTTAATGATATTAAAATAAACAGGAAAAAGATATTCTTGAGATCTATTCAGTTGTAATCCAATCGAATTGTAAAGTGTCGAGGTGCAAACATTTACAGCTCTATCATACATCCGGCACAATACTGCTCAAGACTTGTTTAGCACAATTTGTTGCTATTTTTAGACCAGCGCAACTCTAATTTTCACATTTTGCACCACGTTTTTTAAATATCAAATGCATTTGCGCCACTTTATGGACTTGTGTGTGTTGGTCAATAAAGGCCAATTTTGGCCAATACAGGTCCGATACCAAATTTCAGAGTATCGACCGATACGATCCGATCCCGATACCAAAATTCTGAGTATCGACCGATACGATCAGATCCCGATACCAAAACTCTGAGTTTTGACCGATACAGATCCGATCCCAATACCAAAATTCTGAGTATCGACCAATACGATCCGATCCCAAAATTCATAGTTTTGACTGATACAGATCCAATACCAAATTTCAGAGTATCGACCGGTATAGATTCGATCCCAATACCAAAATTCGGAGAATCGACCGATACGATCTGATCACGATACTCTGCCTTTTTTTTAACATACAGTTTCTATAGTTCTTGTGATAAACTCAAATAAGGTGTGAAGCACCAAAAGCAACCCATATTAAAATGAATTTGAATACTATTTTGGTTATTGTTGCTATCCATGAATTTTCCATGTATTTTCGTTGTTATTATGACCCTCCGACAATCTCTTTCAGCTAAAATAATGCTTAAATGAGTTTATTTATAAACCAGTTTCGAGAGGATCACGTGCTTATGATTGCTTGCGGCTGGTCCCGCATTATCCAATTTATGATTGACCAATCAGACGATTGCTAAGCCACTACAAACACCCAAGCCATCTTCATTTTCAAGAATCCCCCCATCCACCCTTACTCCTCCTCCTTTTCTAGATGGGTGCCACAGTGGCCTAGTGGTTAGCACTGTTGCCTCACAGCAAGAACGTCACTGGTTCTAGTCCTTACCAAGCCAGCCGATGTTTCTGTGTGGAGTTTACACGTCCTTCCTGTGCTCAAGTGGGTTTCCCCCGGGTTTCCTCACTCTATCCAAAAGCATGCAACTTAAGTTATTGACTAATCCAAAGCATCATAGACATGCTCATATTAAGTAGTTATCTGTTAAGAGCAATCCCTATCTGTTCATTAGCTACTACAGCAGGGGAGTTCTCCAGATCTACCTGAACTCAAACTCTCCTCTCGCCTCCAAACGGGAGGGAGCCCCGGGCTCGAGGATCTTATGAGCTCAGGGCTCCTCTCCTGGGACAGCATGCCAAACAAGCTTTATAATCAGTCATCAGCTAAGGGTGAACTCTTGAAATTGCAGTATTTGAATCTCATAGTTAAATAGTAGACTAAATGAGGCCATAGCCACAAAAAAGGTCCACTTTTTGAGAAAATGCAATATTTAAATGTCATCATTAAACATTAAAAAAAATAATAAAATTTGAGGAAAAAAAAAACAATCACCCCTTTCACCAGGCTGGCTACGGGCCTGTGGTGCATGTACTATTATCCCGATAATGATACTTTTTGCGATATATCATGCAGTTCTATCATAAGTGTGATGATGGGATGCGAACCGAATCAACATGTCATATTTTCTGCACCGGATAAAGGCACAGACGCCTCATTTCTTCACCTGGTGTCATGTAATGTGGTCCGCTGGGAATTTCGGCAGGTTTTGCTGACCATATTGAGACTCGTGCTGATGCAAGTTAAAAATAATGTTGTCACATTACCGCAGTAGCTGAAGGCATAAAACATGCTAAAAGTGCAGTCTGTAATTTTAGAAGTGACACCAAGCCAAAATATTACTTCATGCTGGTAAACGACTCGCAGGCTGCAAATCAAAACGAGCGTGAATATTCAGGTTTTAATATATGTCTGGCATCATAGTGGACAAGACACTGCAGGCTACAACACTTCAGCTGCCACTATTGACATTTCTTTCTGTCAGTTTTGAGATTTTGTCTTAGTCTAATGTAAGGAAAGCGTTCATAATTTACTGTTAAGTGTTGCTCGTAAGTGATGCACTTTATCAGTTTGTGTCTGCAGATTTCAATTACAAGACATTTCTTCAAGGCTGTTTTCTGAATATGTGTGTTTTTCTAGCCATTGATCTCTTCCACTTACACCAAACTAACATTGTTTTATTCATATGTGTGTTTCGAAGACTTTTACTGAGGGATATGTTCCTATATATAGTTTGCTTGATTTTATAATCCATTTATAAATAAATGTGGCTGGTTGGGGGTGACACGGTGGCTCAGTGGTTAGCACTGTCACCTCACAGCAAGAAGGTCACTGGTTCGAGTTCTGGCTGGGTCAGTTGCTTTTTCTGTGCGGAGTTTGCATGTTCTCCCCGTGTACTACTAATAATAAAACAATAATAAAATAATATTAATAATATAATGCTACTACTAATAAAATATTAATAATTATAATAATAAAATAATAATAATAATAATAATAATATAATAATAATAATAATAAAATAATAATGAAATAATGATAATAATAACAAACATAAAATACTACTACTACCACTACTACTACTTCTAATAATAATAATAATAATAATAATAATAATAACAATAATAATATAATACTACTACTACTAATAATAATAAAATAATAAAATAATTATTGTAAAAATAAAATAATTATAATAAAATAATTATAATAATAATACAAAATAATAATAAAATATTAATGATAATAACAAAATAAAATAATACTAATACCACTACTACTACTACTTCTAATAATAACAATGATAATAATAATAATAATAATAATAATAATAAAAATAATAATAATAATAATATAATACTACTACTAATAAAATAATAATAATAATAATAATAAAATAATAAATTAATTATTGTAATAATAAAATAAATATAATAATAATGAAAAATAATAATGATAATAGCAAATTATTATCATTCTACTACCACTACTACTACTACTACTTCTAATAATAATGATAATAATAATAATAATAATAATAATAATAATAATAATAATAATACTAATAATATACTACTAATAGAATAATAAAATAATTATTGTACAAATAAAATAATTATAATAAAATAATTATAATAATAATACAAAATAATAATAAAATAATAATGATAATAACAAAAATAAAATAATACTACTACCACTACTACTACTACTTCTAATAATAATAATAATAATAATAATAATATTAATACTATGATACTACTACTAATAAAATAAAAAGAAAATAATAATAATAATAATTTAATAATAAAAAAATGAAAACCCTTTTCACATGACTGTTATGACACGCATAAAGATCTTTGTCATCTTAAATCTTAAAAGTTTTTAATACTTTGGATTTTTATGTATGTACTTTTATTTACATGCATTTTTGTTTATATTATATCATATCAAAATTACAATAAATGAACTCCCGTGTGTGTGTGAGAGGTGTGTGTATTACAGTGTGTATGAGTGCAGGAAAGTATTTCTGACATTATTCTCTCTTCTGGCTGCCGTTTTCAGTCTCACACTATTACTTTTCTTTTTCTGAATCTCTCAATAGCACCAGTGCGGAGTTTTTCTTGTGTTATTTCAGCAAATAGGATTGTAACTCTCCCATTCACTGCGCTCTGAGTTTACCAACTATGATGACGACAATGCTGAGAAACACGCGACTGCGATAAGTGTCCATAGTTTTAATGTGCGCTTGTTTTTTTCAGGGTTCAGTCGTGCAGCGCTGCCGTTTGGTCTGGTGCGCAGAGAGTTATCATGTGAGGGCTATCCAATCGACCTGCGCTGCCCGGGAAGTGATGTCATCATGATCGAAACCGCAAACTACGGACGCACTGACAACAAGATATGCGATGCTGACCCCTTCCAGATGGACAACATCAACTGCTACCTCCCGGATGCCTATAAAATCGTGTCTCAAAGGTAAATGTATAGTGATTTTATTGCATTTCCAAAAATGATTGAGGCCATGACCATGTGTTTTGCGATATAAACTACCTGACAACAGTCTTGTGGTGGATCTCAGTTGTAAGAGCAATTTGTGGAAGAATTGAGTCCAATTGTGGATGAATTGACTTCCTGGTGTGATAGATTTTCAATCAAGTTGATGGTAAATAAAACAAAAGACATGGCGATAGGTTACAGGACAGCTTCTCCTACCCCCAGCATAACAAATAGCAAAGGCTAAGTCATTAAAACTGTGGACACGTAAATATCTAGGGGTCGTTATTGCCAATATGTTGACATTTCAACCGAACACCCAGGCGGTCTGTATAAAAGTCCAACAAAGACTAAAGGAAACTTTCAGGTTTCAGGTTTGTACTTCTATGATGGCTAAACAATTTATTGAATCTGTTTTATCTGTCTGCATTGTAGCTTGGTACGGTAATCTGAGTGTGTCAAACAAGATCATGTTGAGTAGCTTGGTGAAGGAGGCAGGCAAGATCATCGATTTTACCCAAACTGGTCTATTGGTAATTTACTATACTGGTGTTTTAAAGAGAGCTCAGGGTTTCCTATGCACCCTGGATCACCCATTGTACTCTGTGTTTCAGCTGTTGCCATCAGGAGTTCCTATTTGCAGGAGAAATAGAGCTAGACATTATTTTATAGTGGTGGCCATTAGTTAAACTCTGCAGACCCTGTACCGCGTCAGTGACGTCATCGACTTTCGCTTTCAGATTTAAAGGGCTGGCATTGCACCAGACCCCCGTAAGTGGTTTCGTTTGAAAGTGTAGAATCTATATTTTCTGCACATATGCATCACTTTAGTTTTTATTCTACTGTACTAAAGTTATTTACACTTCAATACACAGTATTTCGCACACCCGAGCTGGGTATTGAACATTGGTTCATTTTCATATTTTTCATGTTACACATGTACAAGTTATAGCTCAAATGAAAGCTCTTGCCGGTGCTCATACGGTTCTAGCGTTCTTTTTACTGAATTATATTCACATATCAAACAGTTGTCGAATGAATCTCGTTGTTTCCATGGCGCAGAAGTGAAAACAATACATTTATGATCAATAAGCAGCCCCAGATAGCACAGACAGCTGTCATCTCTCACCTTATGCTGTGCGCTTCAGGGCCATTCTCCTCTGTTTTTGAGGTGATGTGCATAAGTAATCCTTTTATATGTCTGACGCGCTCCAAACACAGTGAATTATGTTTGATCAAACAAAAGAATAGTGAATATGAAAACAATGATGATCCCTGTGGCTTGTACAGCACCTCTCATCAGTTGGAATACAATAACTTCTGCATAGATTATGGTGGAGACATTTTTCTTGCTTCCTATGATTACAGACATGTGCAGGAACCACCAACATTAATTACAGCACGCTAGACCACACACAACCTAAAAGGTACACTTTCAAATTTGAGTTTATAAAAAAAAAAAATACAAGAAGCGCCTCTTTTATTAGGTGTTTATTACAACACAGACAACATATACAGATATTTTAAACACTTTCAATAGTGTTTAATGAAAATTCAAAGGGTTTTCTTTAAAATGATACCAAATTTTTGCATTTACACCTCTGCATGTGGATTTGGGAAGCTTTTAAATTTGAATAGACAAAATCCAGGCGGAAATCCCCAAATAACAGCAGAGTTTAATGCTTAAATGAGTCCAGGGGGAGGGAGATGCACCTATAACATGATGTGTTGTATGTTGTGTGGTAATATTTTGTTATTGTGTACATGAAGCTTCGCTTGTGCTACGGCACCTTGCTGCAATTTTAGTTTCCCTAAACGGGATAATAAAGTTGAGAGTGAGTCAGCAAATAATAACTCGACTTCTAGTTGATCATTTGGAGAAGTGTCAGAAGGTGGATTTCTCTGCTGAATCATCTGTTGATCTGCATCCCAATCATCACCAATACTGCAGAAGACCTACTGGAACCAGCATAGATCAAAATTCCCAGAGAAATCAGTCAAGTTTGGTGAAGGAGAAATCATGGTTTGGGGTTACATTCAGTATGGAGGTGTGCGAGAGATCTGCAGAGTGGATGATTAACAGCAACAGTCTGAGGTATCAAGACATCTGTGCTGCCCATTACATTACAAACCACAGGAGAGCGACAATTGACTACACTGCAGATCCCTGCGATGACTAGTGCAGACCTGCACATTACATTATCAATGCTGAAATGATCTATAGTGCAGGCCTACTTCAGTGTAAAAAATACGAAAAATAAATACAAAATAAATTAAGATATCATTGTTGTTGAACGTCCGCCTCACACCCTAACTCAAGTTCATTATCCCGCTCGTCCTCCGGAGAGAACGGGTCGAAGTCTTCAATAAATAAGCAGCACCTGTGTTAGTCCACTTTAATTTGTCCAAAGCTCATTAGGCTTTGACAAGTTCCATTCTGTCTTTTTTTTTTGCCAGCGCTTGACAAATTAGTTTGGGATCAGAGGGAATACAAAGGACTTTTTTTTCCCGTCCATGATTAAACCGCGAGCGTTTGCTTTCAGGATGCTCTAAAATTAGAGCTTAATTCTGAAGCTTTACATTTCTGGAGCGTTTCTGAAAAGCGAGGATGTCTTGAGCATGTCCAGAAGTAAATGTCGGCTCTTTATCAGAATCAGAGTCAGAATGAAGTTTAAGGCAGGTCAGGATACAAACAGTACATACAGTTGAAGTCAGAATTATTAGACCGCTTGTTTATTTTTCCCCAACTTCTGCTCAACGAAAAGATGTTTTCATCACATTTCTAATCATAATAGTTTTAATATCTCATCTCTAATCACTGATTTATTTTATCTTTGCCATGATGACCACATAATATTAGACTAGATGTTTTTCAAGACACTTCTATACAGCTTAAAGTGACATTTAAAGGGTCATGAAACCCCCTTGTTTCAGCAGGGTGTTTTCACACCTCTACTTTGGAAAGAGTCAGGAAGGTGGGCGTGTCCAGCTCTGTTTAGGGGGGAGTGTCAGAGGAGGGGAAGAGGGAAGGTCCTTTAAAAATTTGCATAAAAATGGAAGTGTCGGTTTGGGCACGCGAGGCAAAACAAACACACAGACGCAGAGGAGAAAGACAGTGACTGTGTTTAAATGGACATCTGTAGTCGAATTATTTGCCAAATTATTAAATGGTGGACTTTAACTGCAGTTTGGCTCTTTCATTCAGGAATTTCATTCATGCCCATGAGGTGGGCCTCGAAGTGAGAAAGGTTGAGAACCCCTGCTTTAAATGTCACTTTAAGCTGAATATCTAGTCAAATATTATGTGCTGTCATCATGGCGAGAAAAGAAATCAGTTATTATAAATTACTTATTAAGTAATGTTATATGAACAAATTTTGGTGTTTCAGCAATTCGATACGTCATTGACAATCATTCTATTATCCAATCAGTGTTAAACCAAACCTCAATAAATACCAAAAGCTGTCCTACCTGCATTATCTCACGACTTAATCATCCCTCCACCACGCCAACACCTCGCCTTTATCTACCCGGGGGGAGCGTTCTGGAGCCGGGCTAGACACTTCTAAGCTCGAACCCCAACTTCTTTCAATTCCCTGATTAAGGGAATAACACCAATTGGGGTGTCTTCTTTGAACTCAGAGCCCTCTCCCTGGACAGCACGCCAAACACGCTTTATTTTTTACATTTTTTAAAATAATATTTTTATTTTTTTAGCATAAGAAAATAATCAATAACATAAACGGAACAAAAATAATAAATAAATAGATAAATAAATAAACAAATAAATAAATAAATAGATAAATAAATAAATAAATACATAAATAAATAAATAAATAAATAAATAAATAGATAGATTGATTGATTGATAGATAGATAGATAGATAGATAGATAGATAGATAGATAGATAGATAGATAGATAGATAGATAGATACATAAATAAATAACTAACTAAATAACTAACTAACTAAATAAATAAATAAATAAATAAATAAATAAATAATTAATTAAATAGATAAATAAATAAATGGATAAATAAATAAATAAATAAATAAATAGATGAATGAATAAATAAATAGATGAATAAATAAATAAATAAACAAACAAATAAATAAATAAGTAAATAGATAAATAAATAATTAATTAAATAGATAGATAGATAAATAAATAAATAAATAAATAAATGGATAAATAAATAAATAAATAAATAAATAAATAAATAAATAAATAAATAAATAAATAAATAAATAAATAAATAAGGGTACAAAGGCCATTTCAAAATACACAAATAGTCAGACACAACATAATACAACATCAATCAGAAAGCATAAGGAAATAAATAGAATTAAATATAAAACAATAATAATTTACAGAGAAATGTGTAGGCTTCACAACTTACTCCAAACCAATCCCAACTATAAAGAGTTACAAGTCAGCATTACTAATTTAAAACATAACTGGGTTCCAGATTTTAAAAAATGTGTTTAGTTTGTTTGTCATCCCATATCGCATTTCCTCCATGGGCAACACGTAACTTAAGCCCCTAATCCGAATTTCGAGCCCAATCCAAAGTGTGAACTCGTGAAAACTATTATGCGCAGAAATGTGCTGAAACCGAAATTGGGGAAATAAATATTCAGGAGGGCTAACAATTCTGAATTCAACTGTTCATATGCATCTAGATGGTTTACATGCGTGTTGACTTTCTTTAACTGTACAAATAAGAAATCTAAATATTCATATCAAAGTATTATATTGGTGACAGCTCCTAGTGGCTCTCTGTCTTGTTTGATTAAATGTGTGAACGCCCACACACACACACACACACACACACACACACACACACACACACACACACACATCAGCTTCCGCAGTCAAGTATATCTGAAGCAAACCAGATATTGTGGCTGCTTTGATAATGCGTGCACATAACAAACACGAGTACAAAGGATTATGCTAAATTTCCTCGAAAATGTGATCGTACATGCTGAATGAGGAGCTTTATTTACATTCGAGCTGGGCAGCTAGATTGTGATATTGAGTATTAGGCTTTTAGGTTTATGTTTGTACATTTGCACAGCCTTATAAAACCACATTGCAACTTGAAAGGGAAGCAAGCAGCTTTGTAAGCCTGAAAAAAGCTCATAAAAATCGACGAACCTGGCTGGCTGAGTTTGCAAGTTCTCCCCATGTTGGTGTGGGTTTCCTCCGGGTGCTCTGGTTTGCCCCACAGTCCAAACACATGCTCTATAGGGGAACTGATGAACTAAATTGTCCTAAATTGTCTGTAGTGAGTGTGTATGTGAATGAGTGTGTATGTGAATGAGTGTGTATGGGTGTTTTCTAGTACTGGGTTTCAGCTGGTAGGGCATCCGCTGCATAAAACATATGCTGGATAAGTTGGCGATTCATTCCGCTGGCACAATCCCTGATCAGTAAAGAGACTAAGCCGAAAAGAAAATGAATGAATGAATAAAAAAAATCAATGGAAGTGAATGAGTCCGGGAGTCTCAACACATTTAAAGGGATAGTGGATCTAAAAAAAATGAAAATTCTGTCATTATTAACTCACACGGGACTTGTTCAAAACTAGTTTGAGTTTTTTTTTTTTAATCTGTCGAACACAAATGAAGATATTTCAAAGAATGTTGCAAACCGGTAACCATTGACTTTCATAGTAGGAAAAACATATATGTAAGTCAATGTGTACCAGTTTCTAATATTCTTTAGTAAATCTTTTGTGTTTAAAATGGTTTTAAACAACTCAAGTGTAAGTAAATAATGACAGAATTTTTAATTTAAATGTGTTGAGACCCCCGGTCTCATTCACTTCCATTGATTTTCGTTGTTGTTGTTGTCAAACAAAGCAGCTTGTTATGCCTCTTAATTTTGCAAAGTGATATGTCCTTATATTGTTTTCATTTTAAAGGAACATTCCACTTTATTTTTGACAAAAACCTCATTTTACAGATCCTTATGAATCCATTTAGCCAATCTCAGGGTCTAACGGGTGCATTTTTTAGCTTAGCTTAGCATAGATCATTGAATCGGATTAGACCATTAGCATTTTGCTCAAAATTAATAAATAAATAAGAGATCAGATCATTTTCATATTTAAAGCCTGACTCTTCTGTAATCACATTGTGTGTTAAGACATTGTGTATTAAGAAGCTGCTATTCTATTGGCTAGGAACAGGCGTAATAATCAAAGAAGCATGGCTTCAGCAGATGCTTCAGCCATGGTACAGCAGTAAATAAACAAAAGTTGTTGTCCTCATGCTGCCCCCTAGTGTTCATTTGACCCAGAAATGACAGTCAAACGTATTTATAAGTAAGTTTAAGCGGTTTCCACTAAGTCTTTGTGCCAAATTTCTAAAATTGGGTCTGCTTCAGCCATGGTACTGCAGTAAATGAACATAATGTGTTGTACTCGTACCGCCCCCCCCCCCCAGTGTTCGTTTTACCCAGAAACAACAGTCAAATGTACTTACAACTTTTATTTCCCGGTTTTGACTGAGCCTTTGTTGCACATTTCTAGAATTGCTTCTGCTTTAGCCATGGTACGGCATTAAATAAACAAAGTTTATTGTCCTCCTACTGCCCCCTAGAGTTCATTGGACTCACAAACGACGGTCAAACGTATTTAAAAGTATGTTTAAGCTGTTTTCACTGAGCCTTTGTTGCAAATTTCTATCATTGTGTCTGCTTCAGCCATGCTACAGCAGAAAATACACAAAAAGTGTTGTTCTCATGCTGCCCCCTAGTGTTCATTTGACCCAAAAACGACAGTCAAACGTATTTATAAGTAAGTTTAAGCAGTTTTTACTAAGCCTTTGTTGCGAATTCCTCATTGCACCTGCTTCAACCATGGTACATGAACATGGACACAAAGTTTGTTGTCCTCCTACTGCCCCCTAGTGTTCATTTTACCCAGAAATGACAGTCAAGCATATTTATAAATAAGTTTCTGCAGTTTTCACTGAGCCTTTGTTGCAAATTTCTATCATTGCACCTGCTTCAGCCATGGTACGGCAGTAAATAAAGTAAACGGTTTGTTGTGCTCATACTGCCCCCTAGTGTTCCTTTACCCAGAAATTAGAGTCAAATGTACTTACAACTTTTTTTTCCGGTTTTGACTAAGCCTTTGTTGCAAATTTCTAGAACTATGTCGGCTTTAGCCATGTTACGGCATTAAATAAACTAGGTTTGTTGTCTTCCTACTGCCCCCTAGTGTTCAATTGACCCAGAAACGATTAACACCTTTTTTTTTCCGGTTTTCATTGAGCCTTTGTTGCAAATTTCTATCATTGCGCTTGCTTCAGCCATGGTGCGATCAGTAAATGAACAAAAGTCTTCATACTGCCCCCTGGTGTTCATCTACCTAAAAACGCTACTCAAAGTAAACGTCAGTATTTACTACTATGTTTTTGCTGCTTTCACTGAGCTTTTGTTGCAAATATCCTACAGCATTTCCTCAGGTCAGCTGTTCCCTACTGCATTCACATGGTTTGTCTTATTTGATTGGTTGATTGCAGTCTAAGCTGGACCTATGAATGGCACCGCAGAGATAGAAAATTCTCAAGTATTCATATTCAACTCCTTTAGAGTTTTTTTTATATGCCCTATCTAAAAAAAAACCCTTCGCATTGGCCTCGAGTAAGAATTAATGAAATTCCTTTTTTGCATAATTAATATTTTTGCCCTGGTTAGCCCAAAGCGGAGCTGTCTGGTGGTTAACGTCTAGTATGTGTAAGCATTAATAAAGCCTATTCAGTGTGGTAGAACATGATGCAAGGAAGGTGCAATTAACAAAAACGATACGAGATGTCTTTATGTAGAGGCCAATACTCACAAGCTTCACGCTCGTAAAACAGCTCGAGTGGGCTGAGGAAAGGTCATGTAAGATCCCAAAAGCCCTAAAGCCAAGAAATCCAAGAACAAACTGGTGTGTCGAACATAATCACAGCAAAGAGAAGCTGGTTTACAGCTCACTAACAGCGCACTCGGAGACAAGTGAATTCTACAAAAATGAAAATGTACATTTCGATTCGATTTTCGATTATGAATAATTAATTAATTAATGACCAATTAATTATTTGTAGCCTACCGTTTAAACTACCTGACCTGCGTGGTCTTTGTTTTACCCATAAACAAATCATACAGTAAATGAATAAAGGCAAGATACACACATAATTACCACCTGTCAATCACTTTTTCTGCGGGACTCGTGAATAGGCAGTGATCTGTGTCGTTATAATGGCGTCGGTAAAAAAAGACGCACAACCAACAGGAACCAGCCAACAGTATCTGAGGTGTTCGCTAAAATGACTAAGTACAAGTGAGTGAAAGATTGAAGCAGTCCTCTGACTGCCTGGACCTGCTGTCTCGAGCGCATGGCTGTGTGTGCGTCTGTGTGTGTGTGGTCACGTGATGTGCATTTTCAGAGGTAGAGAGGAAGGAGGGCTGCTCAGAAATGCTACACGCCACTGTGGATGTCAAATCGTTGTCGTTTTAAAATGCCATTTGAAAACAAAGACAGTGTAAACAGGGCCTGAGTGTGTACTTTTCACGAGCGGATTTGCAACGGGGGCGGGCGGAGGATCGCGATGCCGGTGTTGTCTATCGGACGAACCGTACGTAATACGTACATAGCAGAGCTTGCAAAACTGTGTTTTTTTTGTCGACAACACGAACGTTGTCAACATAACTCACTGGAAATCCAAAATGCTTCCACACCGGCGACTTCATTGAAAGAGGAGAGGGTTTAGGCTCTGTCGACGGGTCTCCTGCTTCTGCAGTTTAACAAGCACTTCAACAAGCCTGTTTTTTTCCCGCTTGGCAAGCCAAGCTGACGTGACATGGGGGCGTGGCAGCATCAACCATTCTATTTTTTGATTCGATAATCGAAATTGAGCATAAATTTAGCTCGATTTCCATTAAAAATCGAAATCGTGACACCCCTATTTGGCTGGTAAACGCGCTTAATCTGATTTAGTTGAAACGTTGGTTTCAGCATCGCCAGTTAACGAATTCACCATTAATTACCTAATTATGCTTGGCTTTTTCAGGTGTAACAATCGCACACAGTGTGTGGTCAACACAGGCTCAGACGTCTTTCCAGATCCGTGTCCTGGGACCTACAAGTATCTGGAGGTCCAGTATGAGTGTGTGCCATACAGTAAGTAATCCAACATCCCCAATTACTCCATTATTTGACTGTCTATCTATCTAATAACGTCATGTAATTTCCTGTGGAACACTAAGTGAGGAAATCCTAAACGGTGTGTTTTGTGAATAAGTAATAGCCCCCCGTGCACCCATAATGAAGCGTTTATGTAAATCTGCACCGTAAACTCTGTGTCTAATCCGAACACCAGAGCTCTGTTCCAGAACACAGTGAGCCGTCTCATTTACTGCAGCCTACGTAGACAGCGACGCGGGGTAACACACACAAATGATCTAACAATGCTTGTCTGGATGAAAGTTTCAGCTTTCTTATTGGAGAAAAGTAAAGTACAGCATTATTTACACCACAATGTGGCATGTTTTGAGTGCACGGCTTTCAAATGTCGTCTGTAAAGAGTAGACGGCTCATTAGGATTTGGAACGGGGCCACTGTTTGCTCGGGCTTTAGCTTTTGCCATTGTTTCTTCATTAGTGAAGCGATTTTTATGTTGTGTTTGCTATCTTCTGCTCATCTTTGAGGATTTATTTTTGTCCAGATCTGCAGCTACATGTTTGGCTGGATGAAACCATTGTGTCGTCATCTCTTCCGCAGAAGCTTTGTGTCTCTTTTAATGAAAAAACTTCTTCTTTTCAGAGTCTTGTTGCATTCACAAGGATCTGAAATCTTGAAATATATGTATATGTATTCTGGAAGTCACTTGGCAGATGGTTCTTTCTCTGTGTGTTTTTTGGTGCTTTTTCACTTTGTAGGTTTAAGATTAAATGAAGGCTTTTCCCGCTTTGGGACACGCATGGTATTTATTCGGCAGGCGTGCATTAAAAATGGAACAGAAGTGACAGTAAAGACTTTTTTAATGTTGAAAACGAAGATTTCCATTTCAAATAAAACCTACTCTTTTGAACGCTTTATTCAAAGTAACCTATAAAATAAGCTTCCTTTATTCTAATATTATAAAGCACTGCTTTAATATTGATGAAATATAGATAATCAGCATGTTAGAATGAATCATGTGATGCTGAAAACTGGCGTAAAGATTTTACTCTGAGTTTTAGCGTTGAATTAGGGCTGTGAAATATGACAAAATCACCATATCATATCACCATAAAAATATAGATCATGATATAGTCAGACCCCCTAGTTTTTCAAGTTTTTTTTTTTAATTTTTCGCGATAAAAATTACTGATTTTGTGGTGATAATTCCCAGAAATTTGCATAAAATTTTGCGATTAAAAAAAAAAGTTTATATACATATATATATATATATATATATATATATATATATATATATATATATATATATATATATATATATATATGTAAATATATGTATATATGTTTATATGTATATATATGTTTATATGTGTATATATATATGTGTATATATGTGTATGTGAGTGTGTGTGTGTGTGTGTGTGTGTGTGTGTGTGTGTGTGTGTGTGTGTGTGTGTGTGTGTATATATATATATATATGTATATTTGTCATTGAAATAACGCCACAGGTAGTTGGTAGAGCTGTGTAAAAAAGACCTGCTGCCACAGCTGGAAAAAAATCCTAGAGGAAACACTGTATAGTTCAGACAAATTTTTCAGACTAATTTCTGTATGGTTCAGACTAATTTCTAATAAGATAAAAGAGAATAAAGTGTACAAAAATAATGTTTTCCTGGGACTTATTTGGCGCTCTCCAGAAATGTATACAGGGGTACGTTTTCAGAATGAGCCTGTGTTGATTTCTTTTTTACATTTTAAAAATACTCAGAAATGTCTAACTTCATTTGGAACGTCAGGCCAAAGGTTTGATTTAAAATGTAGAAATAATAAATAAATATGAATAAAATATAAAACTATATATATATATATATATATATATATATATTGTAAATAACAAACAGGGCGTCACAGCGGCTCAGGGGTTAGCACTGTCGCCTCACAGTAAGAAGTTCTCCAGCAGGATAGTGGTCCTCTGACTTCAGCCTTCACATCAAAGTTCCCGAAAGCAAAGGTGCTCCAGGATTGGCCAACCCAGTCACCAGACATGAATATGATTGAGCATGACTGGGGTAAGATGAAGTTGGAGGCGTTGAAGATGAACACGGAACTCTGGGAGTCCTGCAAGAAGGCTTTCTTTGCCGTTCCAGATGACTTTATTAATCAGTCAGTCAGAGATGTATGGATGCAGTCCTCCAAGCTCATGATGGAGTCAGACACAATATTCATTCTGTCTCCACTGCAGCAGGACTTTATATTCTATACTGGACATTATTTCTGTTCAGTGATGAGACTTTAGTCTGAGCAGAGTCAGACCGCACTGTCCTCATCAAATCAGTCAACATCAAGACATGATCAGATTTTATTGTGCTCAAATAAGCAAAATCTGTTTCCACTTCTTATACCAAATGATTAACTAGAAATCAAGTTATTATCTGTTTTTCTTAAACCTTGGATACATGACAAGACTTTTGTCAGGTAATTTAGTGCTCGATAGTAAAATATTAGGTCACACTTTCTTCTAAGGTACAATTTTTTCTATTACTAAACCATTAATGAACCAACTATGACTAGGTCCACATTAGCCCATCATTGAGTCTATTTATTTACATGTCTAAATGTGTGTAAATGTATGCTTATTCAGTTTTTAAGTTGATTTTAGGCGAGGCAGTGGCGCAGTAGGTAGTTCTGTCGCCTCACAGCAAGAAGGTCGCTGGTTCGAGCCTCGGTTCAGTTGGCGTTTCTGTGTGGAGTTTGCATGTTCTCCCTGCCTTCGCGTGGGTTTCCTCCGGGTGCTCCGGTTTCCCCCACGGTCCAAACACATGTGGTACAGGTGTATTGGGTAGGCTAAATTGTCCGTAGTGTATGAGTGTGTGTGTGTGGATGTTTTCCAGTGGTGGGTTACGGCTGGAAGGGCATCCGCTGCGTAAAAACTTGCTGGATAAGTCGGCGGTTCATTCCGCTGTGGCGACCCCGGATTAATAAAGGGAAAGGCTGACAAGAAAATGAATGAATGAAAGTTGATTTTAGTAATATCATTGACTAATATGAATATGTTCGTATGATTTATTTACAAAACAGTTTGTAAAGTCATATTCTAGTATATAATATGGAAGATTTAATTTGTTAGATTTAATCTAATTTGTTTACCAAATAAGTGGATCTAATTTAGGTTTGGATTTTATATTTTGATTTTTATATTTTTACGTTTTTAGTTACAATACTCCCAAAATCATAAATCAATTTACAAAATTACGCGCATAAATAGCCAAAATGTCCCTGTTCGACCCTAGTCTTGACTTTTAGCTCAGTAAACACTTATTTTGCTGCTTATTAATAGGAAAGATTGTACTTTATAAGCACTAATAAACAGCTAATATCTAAATAAATGACAATAAACCAGTAGTTAATAGTGAGAATTAGTACTTAAATGAAGCGTTGCCGAATATTGTGTTCTTGTGCCCTTGAAAACAAACAAAAATCTGTGTTATTGTATTAATATCTGTGTTTAATATCTTATAGCTTGCTGTCATCTAATCTCTAACTTCTCTCTTTGTCTTCAGGTGTCCACTAATAATTAATTCCCCTTATTTTCAGCTGTTGTACCCTAGTGTTTGGCTCTGAAGAGTTGTGCTAATTCCCGTCGGATGGTCTCTCTTCTTTGGACATGAACGTATTGCCCTGTGTTTTGCTAATGTACCTTTTTATTTCGGGCTGGAGTGTCTATTCTAATCGTTTCTTTCCCTTGACGCTCTTCTCCATTCTCTCGTTTTTGTTTTCTTCACCGCTCAAAATAGAAGTGGAGCAAAAAGGTAAATGACTGCTCTGGCTCTCAGTGCTCAGCTCCTTGTTTTGTGTTGTATGGTTTCGAACCCTTCACACTCTGCTCCCCCTCCCCACCCCATCGTTTACATGATTTCAAGATGGACCAGAAAATAAGTTGAGAACGCATTGGGTTTGCTACGGTTTATATTCTATCCATTTTATTAAGGTGATGTATGTAAGTGTTTCAGTGGTAAAAGACTTCCCAGTTTAATATGCGGAGCCAACTATAATTAAGCTGCTTATCACACACTTAATAAAATGCAAGCAATGTATATGGGCTACATGTAAACTAACACATTTAATTTAACAATGTTCAACTTAAAAACTAGTTAAACTCAGCTGACCCGGTACCGGGTCTGACGTCATCGACTTTCGCTTTCAGATTTAAAGGGCCAGCATTGCACCAGACCCCCGTAAGTGGTTTTGTTTGAAAGTGTAGAATCTATATTTTCTGCACATATGCATCACTTTGGTTTTTATTCTACTGTACTAAAGTTATTTACACTTAAATACACAGTATTTTGCACACCCGAGCTGGGTGTTGAACATTGGTTCATTTATATATTTTTCATGTTACACATGTACAAGTTATAGCTCAAATGAAAGCTCTTGCCGGTGCTCATACGGTTCTAGCGTTCTTTTTACTGAATTATATTCACATATCAAACAGTTGCCGAATGAATCTCAGTGTTTCCATGGCGCAGAAGTGAAAACAATACATTTATGATCAATAAGCAGCCCCAGATAGCACAGACAGCTCATCTCTCACCTTATGCTGTGCGCTTCAGGGCCATTCTCCTCTGTTTTTGAGGTGATGTGCATAAGTAATCCTTTTATATGTCTGACGTGCTCCAAACACAGTGAATTATGTTTGATCAAACAAAAGAATAGTGAAATATGAACACAATGATGATCCCTGTGGCTTGTACAGCACCTCTCATCAGTTGGAATACAATAACTTCTGCATAAATTATGGTGGAGACATTTTTCTTGTTTCCTATGATAACAGACATGTGCAGGAACCACCAACATTAATTACAGCACGCTAGACCACACACAACCTAAAAGAGACACTTTCAAATTTGAGTTTATAAAAAAAAAATGCAAAAAGCGCCTCTTTTTTTTAGGTGTTTATTATAACACACACAACATATACAGATATTTTAAACACTTTCAATAGTGTTTTATGAAAATTCAAAGGCTTTTCTTTAAAATGATACCACATTTTTGCATTTACACCTCTGCATGTGGATTTGGGAAGCTTTTAAATTTGGTCAGGCAAAATCCAGGCGGAAATCCCCAAATAACAGCAGAGTTTAACTGCTTAATTCGTTTGCATTCAGCCCATATACATTGTTTGCAACCACTCATCTAAAAAATATTTAGTAAATCCAATCAATGATTTTCAGTGTAGGAATGAGCCGGATGTACATACAAAAATGGTCTTACTTTATTTTAATGCACAATTCATGCAATTAACTAAGCATTCACCAAGTGTTTAGCTCAGTAAGCTTCTAATTAGCTGCTTATTAATAGTTAGTAAGGTAGTAGGTACTCTGAAAAAATTATTCATTGGATTTACTACTTTTTTAAGGTAAGTGGTTGCAAATAATTCATAAGGGCTGAATTTAAACAAACTACAATGTAATTAGTTTGTTTAAATTCTGCCCATATTAATAGTTTGCAACCACTTACCTTAAAACCTGTGGTAAATCCAATGAATGATTTTTTTCAGTGTAGTTATTTCCCTGGAAAGTGATTTTAGGTTATCAGCACATCTCGGTTTGCCTTGGCTTAATCGTTTAAGGTGTGTTTTGTTAAGACAGGGAAAACCGGTTATGAGAAACCTGTTTGGATCAGGCATTTTTTTTTTTTGCCATTTGGTAGCTGAACAACTTTTCTTGAACCCTCCTGTTGACCTACAGGTCAGAAAAATAACACTGAACTATTTTTTAATCTTTTAATTTTCCAAATTTTATTCTAAAATGTCCCCAAACATTAGAATGAAAATGAATAATATTTTATTTCCATATTTTCATGAAGGCTGTAGACATTTAGGGTACATTGGTTGTCCTTTGGGTCCATTTTGACCCACCAGCTTGACAGAATTTGTGTTTAATGTTTACAAAATGATCTTATTTTTTACACCACAAACACATTGGGCCCTATCATACACCCAGCACAAGACGTGTTTGACATGATTTGTTGCTGTTTTCAGACCAGCGCAACCCTAATTTTCATGGTTTTGTGCCACGTTGTTTTAATACAAATCACTCCACTTTGTGGATTCATGCGTGTGTTGGTCTGAATAGGAGGTGTGTTAAGGCGCATTGTTGGAGCGTTGCTATTTTTAAGAACTGAAATAGACCAACAGCACCATTGACCAGCTAAAAGCTGCTCTAAAGTCCAGCAGAGTGTGTTAGTTATGGACCTAAGCAGGCCCAAATGCTTACACACTGCTGAATACACACAGGATGATCAGCAACACACACATATCTTTACAGATGAAAACAATTAAAATGATCCAGACATGATGATTTTCTCCATCAATATAAACAGCACTGCCTCCATGCCTTCTTCACCTCGGGGGGCTTTTTCAGTTTATTGATGCCGATCTGCATCTGTATAATGTGATTATTATCAGCAGTATTATTGATTATCTGCAGATTTATAATAAACACAAGTGTAGATGTGTCCAGCTGTGGGGTTTTGTAGACGTCTGCATCAGCATATGTGGATAAGAACAGGATGTGTGTTTGGATATAACTGAGTTTTCTGAGCACACTTCATTATTATTGTTCATTTATTACTCTGCTGGAGATTAGAACTGAATTTAGAAATAGTTTAGATACAAATCTTTGCGCTTAACAAACAAGATTAAATATGTGGGCTGATGGATGTGTTCAGTGGAGTGAGTTTCCACCGTTTCCTCACTCCACCAAAGTAAAGGAGTAAAGTAAAGAGGCTGAATGGAGGAGGCTCGTTCTTTATCCTCACGCTGCAGATGCTGTTTAACTGTTTTCGCTAGTGAAGTGCTCAGTTTTTACACTTACAAAGTCGCCATGTTAATAGCAACTGCACCATGGAGCGACTCAACTAACTCTTAATGAGAGTGGGAGACGAGACTCTGATTGGTTTAATGCACGTTCTGCTCAAAACACACCCAGAACTCATTAAGAGAATAAGTACAACCCTGTTAGACCTTGCGCCACGGCACAAACTGCATATTTCAGTATTTATAATTGCAAAAGTGGACTCAGACACACTCCTAATGCTTTTACGCCTTGCGCTTTAGACTTTGCGCCTAGGTCATTAAAAGAGAGCCCAGGGTGTTAGCCAAGTGTTTGTACCACAAAGTAAAGATATAACAATCGAATTACCACTGTGCATACAATGACCTTTAAATATAGAGCACTTACAGACATATATTTCTCAAGGTTTCATTTTTAATCAGCCACAGAAAGAAACTACTCTCGACTACGTACTCTGAGAGAAACTGAAAGTAAAGCTAAACCGCACATACAGTTCAAAATAAAAATAAAAAAGTTCACCCTCCTGTGAATTTTCTCTTCTTTTTCTATTATTTCCCAAATGATGTTGAACAGATTTAGGAATTTTTCACAGTATTTCCTAAAATATATATTTTTTTCTTATTTGTTTTTTTTCCAGCTAGAATAAAAGCAGTTTTTAATAGTTTTAAACCCATTTTAGGGTCAATATTATCAGCCCCCTTATAAGAACAAACCACTGTTATACAATGACTTGCCTAATTACCCTAACTTTACCCTAATTACCCCAGTGAAGCCTTTAAATCTCACTTTAAGCTGAACACTAGTGTCTTGAAGAATATCTAGTCTAATATTATGTGCTGTCATCATGACAAAGAGAAAATAAATCAGTGATTAGAAAAGAGTGAACTATTATGATTTGAAATGTCTTGAAAAATCCTTTGTTAAAAGGAAATTAGGGAAAAATATACACAATTCTGACTTCTATATAGTGGAGTACCCTAAATGACCAGCAGGTGTCCGGGTCAGTCTTATTATATTGCATAAATGCCCTATTGGCCAACAGTTTGAGACCCCTGGGTTAAAGGAAGATCTAAGGCACTCCTTGACATAGTTGGTTCATGTATAGTGAACTGCGGCTTAATTTTATTTGGCTTTTTCCCTCCGATGGCGCCTCTGGCCACGTGATATTGATGGGAGAGAGAGGCCAACTATCTGTAGCCATCTGCATGTGACATATGCTGTTCACCACAGACTTTGCATTTGTGACCAGTTTAACACCCACCCAGAGACGGGTGCGTTTGGCCTCGCTCTCCTATAAACGAAGACGCTTCCCTTTGGCTTTCATCCTATCTGTCCTGAACAGCATCGCCATCCTGTTCCCTTGACCTGCGTGTCTTTTCCTCCCGCCGCTCATCAGTTCTCTCCTCAGACATAATCCATGTATGTGTGTTTACTCTCCAAGGTATGGCTTTTTTTTTAATTGCGACCGATCCGACAAATTCCCGCCCCTCATTTCTGTCGATGTAAACGAACCGTGGCTTGTATTGTAGCTCCTCCAGAATGAATGTTACCTGTCCATTTTTTCATTTACAGGACTGTTTTTGCTGTTTGTGTTTGCTGTCCTCTTCTTTCCCCCCCCACCCCACCGTCTTGTGTGTAAACTTGTTTGGGAATAATCTCAGGGAGCAAAGGCCAACTTTAAATCAGTGTTAACCTCTTTGTTTTTTCTTTCGACTATGCACGCTACACCAGTTTTGACACTGCCAGATTGATATTGTGCTAAATTAGGCTTTGAAATACGTGTTTTACTTATATATAGACTTAAAAAAGATGTGACTTGTGCAAGATACTTATTTAAAGTGAGTTGAAACAACACAATTCTTAAGTTTTTTGGGGGGCAACGTCATTGTTTTATGTTCAGTCTACTTACATTTGTAAAAACTATTAAGTTACTTAATCTATTTGTGTTGGGATAACATAATGGAATTGTGTGGAATTTTACAGTACTTAACCCTTGTGCACTGTTCAAATTGACTACTTATTTGTTTTGTTCGGGATGAAAACATCCACTGAATTAAACGGCTGTAAAAATGCATCAGATTAATATTTTATGCGATTTTTTTTTTTTTTTTTTTTGAATAAATGTGTTAATCAACATCAGATGATCAAAACTACTAAATTGTTTAGAAAATTACAGTATTTTAACTCTTTAATTGCCAAATTTAAAAATGAAGTCACTGATTTGATAAAAAAAAATACACACAAAATGACGTATTTTCATTATAAAATGTCATTGTGGACTGGATTTATTTGACCTTTTATCACAGTCTTGGACATGTCATTAGATTTACATATTTTTCACCCTAATTTACTGTTGCTGGCTGTTTTTGCTTCCTTGACTTCCATTATAAGCACATTTGGTGGTGCATAAATACACAGTCTTTGTTTTTGTTTACTCCATGTAGTTCTGAGATGCATATTTTGATTTTCAAGGTAATCAAGGTAAGTGCGCAAAGGTGAAAACAGAGCCTATAACGTCACTGCCTCCTTATATTTCAGTGAAAATACGAAACATAACAGCTCTTTAGATTATTTTCTACTTCTACTTATTTTCTATTTTCTGTTTCTACTTTATAGGAAATAAAGGCTAGCGATCAGTCAATATACAGAATGTAGGTTACATTAATTGTTAACTTATCTTTGCGCTCAGCCAAAACACGTTACCTGAGAACAAGTAATTGATTCCAATGACCAATATCGGGGAATATGTCGTTAGATATAGACAACAAGATAAGTTATATATCATGTTTAATAAATATAGTGGGATTAGATCCAGCGGGAGATCCTTGATGAGCAGTCCGACTAGCACAGCTCTTATCTGGGTAGATTGCCCGAGAGTGTGTGTGTGGTCACATGATGTGTGTTTTCAGTGTTTTGGTGTGGACGCAGAGCAGTACAGAAACGCTGGGCGAAACGCTTGTGTGGACGCGGATCGTTTTCATTCTAAAACGCCGTTTTAAAACTAAAATGCACTAGTGTAAACGGAGCCTGAAAAAATCAAAATATGCATCTCAGAACTACATGGAGTAAACGAAAACCAAGACTGTGTATTTATGCACCATCAAATGTGCTTACAATGGAAGTCAATGGGGCAAAAACTGCCAGCAACAGTAAATTAGGGAGAGAAAAAAAAGAAAACTAATAAAAACAATGCATCAAAGACGGTTGTTACACATTTCCAAGAGTTTGATAAAAGATAAAAAAAAAAATCTAGTCATTAATTACTTTTTATATTGAAAATACGTAATTTTGTGTGTGTGTTTTTTTACCAAATCAGTGACATCATTTAAGAATTTGGCCAATAAAAAGTTAAAATCCTGCAATTTTGCGATTTTGATCAGGACTGAGGTTTATTAACACTCTGAAAAAAGAGTTGCGTGCAGAACTGTTGCAAACAATTTATTTGTGTTGAATTTAAACAAACAAATTAAGTTTAACAATGTTCAACCTAATTTGTTTGTTTATATTCAGCGCAAATACATTGTTTACAACCACTTAACGTACAAAAAATGAGCAAGTCCAAGGAATCATCTCTGAATAATTTTTTTTCAGTGCAGATTTTTACAAAAAATACAAAAATACAAAAAAATAATAATAATGTGATGCATTTTTACAGCAGCTTAATTCAGTGAGGTTTTCATCTCTAACATAACAAAAGGGTAGTCAAGTTGCTCAGGGTAGTAAATTTGATCGTTCAATCAAACATTTTCTCAAAATATGTGCACTCAAACAAACATATATATGTATATATATATATATATAAATATATAATAAATAAATATATAATATAAAGTAAATATATATATATATATATATATATATATATATATATATATATATATATATATATATATATATATATATATAATTTTTGCTCGTTATTTAAAATGAAACAACAAAATTCTTGAAATTTTATTGGGACAACTTAATATGTCTATGTTCAATCCACATAAACTCGTTGAAAGTGTTAAGTTTACTTAATTAATTTGTGTTGGGACAGCATGAATGAATAGTGTGGAACCCTGCATGTTTTTACAGTGTGGCAAAATAAGATTTGTCAGCAAACATCATTCTGCTAGCTGTAACATAAAAAATTATGGCCAAATTAAGACTCAAAATCAGCCCAGAGTGGATGAAAACACCCCAAACAGCACATAAGGGTTAAATGACTTTTGCTGCTTGTTCAAGCTACTTATTTAAAATGAGTTGAAACAACACAATTCTTAAGGTAACTTAATTCTTTAACCCCCGATTCACTTAAATTTGTAAAAATGACTAAGTTAATTGAATCGATTGGTTGTGTGGCACCCAGAATTGTTTACAGTGTTTGCACATTGCTAGTCCATCGTCTAACTCTACTTCTTGCCTCTTGACCTCTTTCCCCACCCAGTTTTTATTTGCCCCGGGACTCTGAAAGCAGTAGGAGATCCGACCCTCGAGTTTGAAGCTGAACAGCAGAGTGGAGCTTGGTGCAAAGACCCCCTGCAGGCCGGGGATAAGATCTACTTCATGCCTTGGACTCCATATCGTACTGACACTCTCATTGAGTACGCATCACTGGACGATCTACGAAGTGGTCGACAAACGACCACATACAAGCTTCCACATCGCGTAGACGGAACTGGGTTTGTAGCCTACGACGGCGCCATCTTTTTCAACAAGGAACGCACTCGAAATATAGTCAAGTTTGACTTGCGGACTCGAATAAAGAGCGGGGAGGCTATAGTGGCCAGCGCCAATTATCACGACACCTCTCCGTATCGCTGGGGCGGCAAAACAGACATCGATTTAGCAGTCGATGAACGAGGACTATGGGTGATCTACGCTACCGAGCAGAATAATGGACGTATCGTTCTCAGCCAACTCAATCCATACACTCTACGCTTTGAAGCCACGTGGGAAACCGTCTATGATAAACGCTCCGCCTCCAATGCCTTCATGGTGTGTGGCGTACTGCATGTGGTGCGCTCAACTTACGAGGAGAACGAAAGCGAGGCTAGCAAGAGCCAAATCGACTACGTGTACAACACCAAACTGGGGCAAGGGGAGTACGTTAACATCCTCTTCCCGAACAAGTATCAGTACATCGCCGCTGTGGATTACAACCCGAGGGATAACCAGCTGTATGTGTGGAATAACTTTTACATTCTTCGATACAATCTGGAGTTCGGGCCACCGGATCCTGACGAAGGTAAGATCTCTTTCTCTGTTTGGCTTTTGTGAAGTGGTCTGATTTTCATTGGTATGTGTACCGACTGTTATGGATGACTTGGTTTTTAATTCAGAGTATTGATAGTTTTCTGTCATGTGACCTGTGCGGAGATTTGGCGGGCAAAATAAAATGGGCCATAATGGCGGCTACGCTGGGATCTCCATATAAACGCAGCACAAACCGCTCATATTTCAATATATACGGTAGATATTTGTGTCATGTATCATCAGAACAGAACCAAGATATGATCACAAACTCTAAATTGCGATTGATATACTCCACACGCAACCATTTTTCAGTCATTTATAACCCTCATGCCCTTGTTGGAGCTACAATTCTTACATCTAACATTATCTTGTGGATATTCCTAAGTGATTTAGTCATTGGTGACGGTGTTCTAGCATAGTAAGTGTTTGCTGTTATATTTGGTGTTGGTTTCTTTTACTTGGATAAATATTTTCTGGTTGGAAAAATCTATTCGTTCACTTCTTCTATTCATTCTTTGGCTTCGCATTTCAATCTATACTTTAATTGCACTTGACCTGCAAATTATTATAGAAACTGTATAAACGCACACAAAGGCACTGACAGTTATAGGTACCATTGATTGTTATGGGTCAATGATGCTACCATTCATCATATGAGACCCTGTCCACACCAACATGGGTATTTTGAACACCGCACTTTTTTCCATGTGGTTTCGCTGTTTGTCCACACGACTATTGGATGATTGAATCCAAAACTTTCTGAAAACTTCGACCACAGGTAAGATTTTCCAAAACTGGACACTACTACTGGAACTTTCGCCTCATGACGCCAGCATATGCACTGTTTTCTTTGCCGTTTTGCTTGGCCAAAGCCATTTGAGGAAGCAAATTTTACACATTCGCAGCAAACGTATTGCATTTTCTGCAGTAATTAACCACTGGACAGTCACAAAAATAACACATTTACAAAATATAATTCATACATTCACAACACAAATGAAAGCATAGATACACAAATCCAATTCGTCAATTCAAAACACGATTCGTAAATACACAAATCTAATTCATCAATTCATAACATGATTCATAAATACACAAATCTAGTTCGTCAATTCGAAACACGATTCATAAATACACAAACCCAATTCGTCAATTCGAAACACGATTCATAAATACACAAACCCAATTCGTCAATCCGAAACACGATTCATAAATACACAAACCAAATTCGTCAATTCGGAACACGATTCTTAAATACACAAATCCAATTCGTAAATTCGAAACACGATTCATAAATACACAAATCCAATTCGTCAATTCGAAACACGATTCATAAATACACAAACCCAATTCGTCAATTCGAAACACGATTCATAAATACACAAACCCAATTCGTCAATTCGAAACACGATTCATAAATACACAAACCCAATTCGTCAATTCGAAACACGATTCATAAATACACAAACCCAATTCGTCAATTCGAAACACGATTCTTAAATACACAAATCCAATTCGTCAATTCGAAACACGATTCATAAATACACAAACCCAATTCGTCAATTCGAAACACGATTCATAAATACACAAACCCAATTCGTCAATTCGAAACACGATTCATAAATACACAAACCCAATTCGTCAATTCGAAACACGATTCATAAATACACAAACCCAATTCGTCAATTCGAAACACTAATAATAAATACACAAATCCTATTTGTCAATTCAAAACACGATTCATAAATACACAAACCCAATTCGTCAATTCGAAACACTAATAATAAATACACAAATCCTATTTGTCAATTCTAAACAGGATTCATAAATACACAAATCCAATTCGTCAATTCGAAACACGATTCATAAATACACAAACCCAATTCGTCAATTCGAAACACGATTCATAAATACACAAACCCAATTCGTCAATTCAAAACATGATTCATAAATACACAAACCCAATTCGTCAATTCGAAACACTAATAATAAATACACAAATCCTATTTGTCAATTCAAAACACGATTCATAAATACACAAATCCAGTTCATTGGAGAAAAAATCTATGAATAAATTTATTCCGCCTCTTTTCTCATGTTTGCATTGACACCCGGTTTGGTGTGAACCCAGCATTTAAGTGTCTTTATCGCCCCCTGTTGGTTCAGCATGTCTTCAGCATGCATCACAGTGAGCTTTTGTGTGGACGGAGATTTTTTTAAAATGAAAGCAGGGGAACTGTATAAAAATATTTGTGTATGTATGGACATGGCTTTAGTGTGCGAGGAGGACAGTACCCTATTGAGAGTCCTATAAACTAAAGCGGCTGTGGATTATTTAAATCAATGTCAATCATGTGATTGTCGGTGACCGATTGAGGCAAGTAAAGGACTTGATGAGTAGACTCGAGTGGCTGATGAGTTTTTGCAATCCAGCTCCCTTCTATTACGGCTGTAACCCTGCAAACCTCACCAATCATCTCCACTGCCATTCACACCAGGGGAAATTCGCAATTGCTATGTTTCTCAAAAGCATGTCAGATCTGAGATGACCCTACTCGAGTAATGTGAAACTGTCGGCCATTTAGTTACTGTCCTACAGAATTGGACTTTCAGTCAATTTAGACGGTGCTAATGGATAGCATTTGGTTCATATTGAATTCAAATGTGGGAGCCACAGTGGCTCAGTGGTTAGCACTGTGGCCTCATAGCAAGAAAGTCATTGGTTTGAGTCCCAGTTGAGATTTCTATGTGGAGTTTGCATGTTCTCCCCAGTGTTGGTGTGGGTTTCCTCCGGGTGCTCCGGTTTCCCCCACTGTACAAACACATGAGCTATTGGTCAATTGGGTGTTGTAACCAACAATAGACCTACACATAGGCCTAATATTGTTATTGTTGTTAATAATTTGTTTGAGAAATAACATTAATAATAGCCTACTCATATTAAACTTCATTTAACAATCCTGATCTTGATTTCAAGCAAAAAAATAAATCAAGATTGTCATTTTAGCCAGAATCGTGCAGCCCTAGTCAGAATAAATATGAGTCTGTTACTCCTGAAGTTTTAACATTTTATTTTCAACAAGGGTCATTTGAAACGTTAAAGCAGAGACGCTACTTGCATTTAATAAGCTTTCTATGTATATACAGTCACTTTTATGCGTTCATCTCCTTCATCTCATGACCCCATACATCATTACTGAAGAAGAGCGGAGTCTTCGGCAAGCATTAGATCTGATCGCGAGCCATTAAAACAACACTCGTCTGTCAGCAAGAGGAGGAAAATGACAGAAATAAATCTTTTATTCTCCGTCAAAACACTTTGTATGCAAGGCTACATTTTATGAGCGCTTGCAAAGATGGCCTGTTTGACTTTTTCATATCTTTATTCTCATTAAAACTAGTTACTATAACTAATGTTTTTTTTTAAATAATCATTTTTTCTATTTATTTTGCCATATATATATTTATATATATATATATATATATATATATATATATATATATATATATATATATATATATATATATATATACATTAGATGTCGCCTACCTTGTTATTGTCTATTGGAAGGAATGCGTCAATAGCGCCGCCATCTTGCTACAGGGTAGTGCTCCATTGAAATTAATGCGGGACCAAGGTACGGTGGAGGACTGAGGCCATGCAAAGCCAGAGATATACACATATACACATATATCTGTGATCGGGAGTTTTCCTGGATGTTAGTATGCAATTTTTTTTTTTTTAATTACGAAAATTATAAGTTTACATCACTTTTCTACATTGATGGATCAGTGACCGCACGGGCATTCCTGACAAAAAGCTTGTGTTTGTGTGTACAGAAATGTATTATCCACCCTCCCTGTTAAATCTGATCTAATCATGTCCTGAAACACAGCTCCTCTCCTGCTTTCACTGCTCATACTGACGGAGGGAGCGATTCGTTTGTGAATGAATCTCCGTTATGAACGACTCTTTCACTAGCCGACAATAATACATATGTATTTATTTTGCATTGTTTGCTGATTTTATTCAACAAAACTAGCATAAGCCGAGTGTTTAGTGCGAGTTGGAGCTGCTTTGACTTATAGTGAAAGCAGTAAGAGACTGTATCATAATCAATACGCTACTGTTTAGCACAAAAGTTCAGAACATACAAAAACAGATAAAAAAAACTTAATATTACCTATGAAATGTTCTGCCTTTGTGCTTTGTTTTCTTTGCTTGCTCATTACTACACGCGTAGACAGCGCTAAAGTCCCGCATCTGCCTGTTTCTCTGGGCTTTATTGGTGATCATGATCTGTAATGTCGAACCATCATTGCCTTTTTAGCATAAGAAGAGGACAGAAACTAGGCAGACAGTAATGTGTGAATTGTGGAGCGGGCTAAATCTAAATACATCATCTGTTCTTTTCAATGCAGCATGGTGATTTATTTATTAATTTGTTTTAGCTATAGCTAAAAGCTGAGTTCAACCATCAGCTGAAGACTCTTTGTGCGCTCAAAATATCTCTCTGTGTGACACCAAATAATGCCATGAAAGTCCCTGCTGTGTTGTTGTTTTCATCCGGCCGGGTTGTCTCTGTCTGTGTTTTTATCGTCTGTCCTCCAAAGGTCGACTTCTGAATTTCCTTGAAGCCACAATTAAGTCAGACAGAGCCGTTTTTAATTGGCCCAGCGTGTTGGACGGAGAAAGCGTGCGTTTGAGCCAATTTTCGCTGCGCATGTAAATGTAATTAACAGCTGAATTATCATAATTGCCATTAGTGGGTGATCAGGGCAGCGCTGCAAATTCAGGACGGTTGCAAATTGCCAGTTAGAAGCTTAATTATTATTATCCTCTTCTGATCTCTGAATCTCAGATCTTTCCCAGTGCTGTTTTAGAGTTAAACATGACATTAATTCTAAATTCGAGAAGGTGTTAAAATAAAGGTTCAAATGATTGTATTTTTCACTATATTTCATCATAGCAGGGTTTACGCGGTTGCTGGA